CAAGTAGCCTTTATTCCAGATGTATGTTGTGTGAACATCTCAAGATTGTGTTTGAACATTCTTACAGTACCAGACTTTGTTCTGAATGTATAGAGTGAACATCTCAAAATTGTGATTGAACTTTCCTACAGTCCAGACTTTGTTCTGAATGTATAGTGTGAACATCTCAAGATTGTGTTTGAACATTTTTACATTTCACTAAGTAGACTTTGTTTTGAATGTATAGAGTGAACATCCCAAGATTGTGTGTGAACTTTCATACAGCCCACCAAGTACACTTTGTTCTGAATGTATGTTGTCAATTGTTCATTAAGTAGTCCAAAGTACCATCAAAAGTTCTAAGTTTCCAAAACCACTGTAATAAATCTAAATCTAATTACATGTGGATAAACCAAGAACACGAACGTCTACTCGTAATGTAGTTTAAATGATGTAATATTTCACTCTAATAAATCTGAATCTAATTACATGTGGATAAACCAAGAACACGAACGTCAACTCGTAATGTAGTTTAAATGATGTAATATTTCACTCTAATAAATCTGAATCTAATTACATGTGGATAAACCAAGAACAAGAACGTCTACTCGTAATGTAGTTTAAATGATGTAATATTTCACTCTAATAAATCTGAATCTAATTACATGTGGATAAACCAAGAACACGAACGTCTACTCGTAATGTAGTTTAAATGATGTAATATTTCACTATAATAAATCTGAATCTAATTACATGTGGATAAACCAAGAACAAGAACGTCTACTCGTAATGTAGTTTAAATGATGTAATATTCCAAACACTCGTTTCGTGGGCGTTGCTGAAGAAACTCTTGTAGTTTCTTCAATTGTGACTAAACAATAAACATTTGTATGTATTACATAGAGCAACAATACAGTCAGTAATTGAAAAGTTAGGTCTCGATACAGATTACTTGGTTGACTTAGACTCATGTACTGCGAAGTACAAAACATATATTTAGGGTTAGTTCAGTTATAAATCCCATCAACTTGGTGAAATAATAGGACGAGACTACGGGTTATAAACCTCGTCCATATACTTGGTAAAAATAAAAGGACGAGACTACAGGTTATAAGCCCACGTCACTTGGTGAAAATAAAAAAACGAGACTACGGGTTATAAGCCAACGTCTCTTGGTGAAAATAAAAAAACGAGACTACAGGTTATAAACCCACGTCACTTGGTGAAAATAAAAAGACGAGACTATAGGTTATAAGCCAACG